AAGAAACAATATATAAATCATATATTACATTCTTGTTAAAATAGTTAAGAAAATAGGTAAAAATACTAAACTACCTCTCACTCTAACGGAGATTGTTAATGGAGTTAGTTATCAGGAGCCATTTTCAAAGCAAAAATAAAAATTACAAGGACGATTTCTGGACTTATTAAAGTTTGGATCCCGCTTACAAAGATTTCACTAAAGCTCTGGGACAAAAACAACAATACATTGTAAATCATAGAGACAAAAATAGAAATACATTACAAACTATAGGGACAAAAATAGAAATTTCTAAAATACAGGGACAATAATCGGAATTTTAATAAACCACAAGGACTGAAAACGTAATTTAGTCAATATTTTGATCTCTCCTTTTTACTTTGCAGTTTCCGTTAGCACCCGTGTTCCCGCTCCCACTTTTCCCCATCGGCCATCTCGCCTCCTATAGTCCAACTCAATACCGAACGCTCTCCGGGCTCACGACAGCGACGCCCTCCGACGGGCCGACTCACGGCGGCAACGACCTCCGACAGTCCTGCTCACGACGGAGAAGCTCCTGTTGCAGTTTTCATGTGTCTTCCGTCGAGTTAGGGCACACTTCTCGAATCCACAATCAACAACTCAAATTGCCTATTTTCTATTTCCATTTAGGTAAACATAAAACATCTCATCCTTAATGATCTATGTGCGTTACTAATCAAGAGCTACGTGGATAAATTGATTCTGATTCAGTGATTTATGTGGATTATAGCCTATTCTGATTTTGTTCTTAGACCAGTAGATTACTGGTAGGAATTTGGAATAAATTATTGATGGAACTACTCTACAGTTTAATTGCAAAAGTAGAAACAATATTACTTTATGATACGTATCGATTGAAAGGATTTTGAGGAGAATTCAGGTTATATTACATTACTCTCTTTCGATAATATCACTTGTAAGCTAATCATTAGACTATGGTAACATCTGTCATCAAATTCATTATAGTATTGATATATACAATTTCGTTTGTGTAATCTCAAACTGTCGCTTATGTTTGCTTGATTTTCTCGGTTTTCTTAGTCGTGGTTGTGAATCTGTGATTCACTTCAAGAATCTGTTGACATTAACGAACAAATTCTTAACAAAGAGGAAAACAGTTGCAGGTTCATCATTTACTTCGGAGAAGGCTAATTATGATGGATCTAAACAATGCCATACAAAAATAATATAATAGTGTTGTGTATTTGCACCATACTTATATTTATGTATTTACATTAGGTTCATCATCACCTAATATCATTGCCTCTACAGTGACGCGAAGCAGAGTTTCATCCTGTATCTAAACTCCAGCGGCGTTATGGTTTTTCTTTGAACCGAATTCTAAATTTGGAACTTTTTTGCACTCGAACCTGCGCCTTCTTCTCCAAGAGGCGTGTAGCATTGCAAAAAAAACGATGCTAGGTCTTTCGTATGGAGAGCTTTTCCTTATCCTCGGAGCCACGGCGGCTCTCATCGGTACAAAAAATATCTCTATTTTCTTTTCCAGTGATGTTATAATAGTTTCATCACTTCATGAAATAAAAATGCACATTTTCAAGCTAATTAGTCATGAGAAGTGCATTTTGACTTGAACATCCATGACTTTTTATCGTCCTAGGTTTTCATACATGTTCGATTTTCATATTGCAAGTACGAGTTACTTGTTGATCTTCATTTGGTATCAGTTTGATTTTTGTTTCTGTATTTCAAAATCATTGATCCTCACTAGGCCCCAAAGATCTCCCTCGCATAGCACGAGTCGCCGGGAGGCTCGCTGGCCGGTCAATTGGATACGTTCAAATGGCCCGTGGACAGTTCGACAATGTCATGCAGCAGACTCAGGCTAAACAGGTCTCCCTACAACTGTAAACTCCCTCATTCCTTTAAAGGAATCAATGGAGTATCTGTTAACTTTAAAACTGTCGTGCCTTTTGACATCTTTGTAAAAACATTGCATATTGAAAGTGTTGGTGATAGATTGGTAAAAAAGTTCATATCAGTTTGTTAATTGCCAAGGTACTAGATTTATCATAAAATTCTGATTATACATAAACAGCCGCTCTACTTTTTGGGTGGAGGTCTACATCTCACCCCCCGACCTCACCTTTGGGTGGGTTTGTTTGATTTGGCTTGGTTTACATACATATATATATATACATACATACATATATATATGTATACATACATACATATATACATACATACATACATATATATATATACATACATATCTATCTATATAGGGGTGGGTTCAAATAAAAACCACTCAATTTGTAAAAACCGTGAAAACCTCATTCAACCAATCATAATTTTT